TGAAGATGTTGGTTCACATGGTTCTTTAGATTCTGGACCACATGATCGTAGTTTGGGACTTGATCTTGATTTAAACAGAGTTGATGAGACTCCTGAAATTGGTACTTTCTCTATAACCAAACTGGATATCCCTGTTTTACCAAGCAAGCCGTCATTGTCTAGTGGGTTGTCTAATGGTGGAAGTGTCTCAAGAGACTTTGACTTAAATAACGGGCCTGGCCTAGAAGAAGTTGGTAGTGAAGTCCCTACACGTAGTCAGCAGCAGATGAAAAATTCTGTGCCGTTTCCAAGTGCTGTTCATAGCACGAGAACAAACAATGCTGAATATGGAAATTATTCTGCATGGTTTCCTCCTGGAAATTCCTATTCTGCAATTACTGTCTCGCCACTTCTATCTGGTAGAGGGGAGCAGAGTTATGTTACTGGTGCTGGGGCACAACGAATAATGGGTCCAACAGGTAGCACTCCTTTTGGTCCTGAAATCTACAGGGGATCAGTACTTTCATCCTCACCGGCTGTTGCTTATCCATCCACTACAGCTTTTCCATATCCTGGATTTCCATTTGAAACCAATTTTCCATTATCCTCAAACTCCTTTTCTGGTTCAACTGCATTTATGGATTCGTCGAATGTGGGCGGGCTATGTTTTCCTACCATGCCTACACAGCCAGTTGGGCCTGGTGGTGTCGTTTCATCCACATATCCTCGTCCATATGTTATGAGTCTTCCAGGTGGTACTAGTAATGTGATACCTGACAGCAGAAAATGGGGAAGTCAAAGTCTGGATCTTAATTCAGGCCCTGGTGTAGCAGATACAGAACGGAGGGACGAAAGATTGCCTTCAGGATTGCGGCAAATGTCTGTCCCGAACCCACAAGCCTCAATTGAGGACCACTTGAAGATGTTTCAGATGGCAGGTGCTGCTGCATTGAAAAGAAAAGAGCCTGATGGTGGTTGGGATGCTGAAAGATTCGGTTATAAGCAACACTCACGGCAATAGTGTCATGGTTCGTCAACACAAATGTTCAAGAGGTTAGCCAATTTTATGCCTTCTGGCCCCCCTAATCTTTTTGCTATTATTTTCTTGGCTGAAATTTGATGTTATTTCATGTTTCTGCGAGCCCTATTAGCTCGCTTTGTCCATGAGTTTGCCTTGTATTTGGCGTTTTTAAATGTGGTATAATTTTGTATTTTTGAATCTTAGCATATTTTGTTGAAAAGAATAGTTCTCTATGCTTGTGCCAAATATCCGTGTATTTGTTCGATATACTGATGTATTTTTGCTATGCAATTTCCTTATTTTGTAATGTATTGAATTTGTATCTGTTCTGGTGCAGCTATTAAGGAAAATTGTCTGATAAATTGGAGATATTTGAGTGTTGAGCCATGGAAAATGAGCAGAGATGGTACCCTTGCTGCTGATGTGCCGCTTCATTTCTGACTTGATAGAGCGATCCAGATCCTCTGATGCAGTTGTTTTGTATGAATCTGCTCCCAGATTGTCGCTTGCAGATAAGTGTTTCCTGTGTAGATATCTAACTGAAACAGCAGGTGTGATAATGCCGCCGCTTAGAATCAGAGAAATTGGCATCAAGTGTTTGACTGTGACTGTTCTGCAACAGCACCGACCCCAATCCATTCTCGAGCATTTGGAAGGAGAGGATTGGATGTATGAACTGGCTAGGCTTGAGGCCAGTTTGTCTTCTTTAAATCATTTTTTTTTTCAACTTTTGTTACATATATAGTTATTGCTGTAGTCTTGACTTTGGAATTTTGTCACTTATCACATTCTGGTTATTGATATATGCACAGGTTAGCCACCATGGCCTATGTGTCTCTTCCCTCTATTTGTTATCGCCCTGCACTTGCGTCGTTTTCTTTTGGTATTATAACTAGAATTTGTTTATAGAATTTCTTTGAATTCTTCCTTTTATTGTATGGGCAATGCCTTGATGTTTTTAGCTGCAACATAAATTTGTGATTCGTTAATTCTTATCACAGTAGTTATCCTTTTAAAAAAATGAATTGCACTAAGACAGCACAGTCAGGCATCGTATATGCCTGCAAAAGACATGATCCACCCTCCTTCCAGCAAGAATTTGTCGTTTGTCAAGTGTACAATTCTGCATAGTTACTTAAAGACAAGTGTTTATGTTATGAACACAAATGTTCTCTGGACAGTAGGAAATACGAGACCAGTGGCATGCTTGTAGCTGTATGAAAGTTGTTGTAAATCGTGATTTTGGATGTTGTCCATACAATTCGATATTTCAGTGCATTGGGTCAACAATTTGGTTGAAAATTTACAGAGTCTGTTCCAATATGTTTGGTATGAGCACTTGGATGTCAGAACTTGGAAAGAATGACATAATCAATAACTTTCTTTTGAGTTAAAGGATTGGATATTGATATATTTATCACGGTTGCACTTCATTTTATTTCTTTGTTTTGAATTAGCTACAGTTGATGAGCATTGGTTCCTTCTCTGATAATATACCAAATCGATAAAGCTCAGTTCATTAACGTATTATTAATATTAACAATATTAACGTGAGAAAAAGGTTTACATACTCATAGCAAGGAGGCTTTTGACTTCTGACTACTTCTGAAGAACTTTCATTCAATTTTCTCAAAAGCAAGAAAAAAAAAGAAAGAAGGTTGGCTATGCACTAAGATCTGTTTACTTTCAAAACTAAGCTCTAGAGATCTTAACATCATTTCAAATTCGCAGCAACACGTGTTTGTTTTGAATTTGGTTTAATTACGTTTTGACCAAATTCATTTTAGGCTATGGAATATGATCAAAGTATGTAAATTTAAGTTTCATACTTCTGTGAGGGCTGTGCTTGTTTTTGGTTTAAGACTGTGTGTGAGAATTAGTTTTTTTTTTCTTACTATAAAACAAATGAATCTTTTATTTCTTATTAGAAACTGATAAAAGGAAACATTTAAAAAGAATACATGTAATAAGCTATATCTTCACACATAATACGTTTTAGTGATGAAATTACATTCGTTGATTTAAATAAATGGACCGACAATAACTCTCATCTTCACCGTCAATTCAACGCGTTCTCATTAAATGATTTTTTACTACTGTTTTATTATACGAATGCATTTAATAAGTTGTACTATTGTATACTAATTTTCTACAACTCATTCTAGAATGAATACGCCCACAAAAGAATAAACCTTCACGTTATTATTCCATGCATAATTACGTAATTATGATGATTAAATCTGTTAACTTTCATAAAAAATTGTAAAAATCTTTAACTTGTATTTCTTTTATTTAACCGTAATTCTCAAAATATCCCTTTCCTCTTTTATACTTTTATTCTTTACTTAATTTATAATTGATTTATACGTGTCTGCACTACTCTATTTTCTACCATTACCAAGTTTATTCCATCATCCCTTTTACCCTATATTTGTGACTATTGACTTTTTACCGGTGTGAATTTTTTGATTGAGTTTTGACCAACCATGTTCCAGAAAAGAAGGGTCAAACTTTTGATCCACCATATCTGTCACATGGCATGCGAGAAAGTGGAGTCTCTGAAGTGGTCTTAGACCTTACATTACACTGTCCATGACCATAGCAAAAAGAGTGTAACAATTGTGGCGCAAAATTAGGGTTTGTGTTAATGAGAATGGTCCACACTTCCAACAGGATCACATGCACTGCTTAATTTGTACCTTGACATCTGTCACATTCCAACCTTCATGTTATCTTCTGACATAAAAAAAGTACTATGCCATGCTTTCTCTTTCACAAGCATTGTGCTCTTCCACAAACTCTTGTTCAAATTCTAACAAACACCTTTTCTAATACCTTACTTTTCTGCACCATCCTTATCATGGGCCACCATCAACTCTCATCACTCATCATCATCATCATCTTCTGTAACAACATATGTGGAAACTTATTTGCTTTCTCAGCTCAAAAATGTAAAAATCATAACACTAATTAACACTTCTCAATTTATTTACTTAATAAATTGTTAAAAATATTCTGTTACCCCATATAATAATATCCCAGTTTAAAGAAAAAATAAATACAATTTATTGAGTAATTAATGAATTTTAATACATTAATATATAAGTTGTCAATTTAAGGATTTTTATTTTTATACTTTTGTTTGGTTAGAATCAATCTTAGAAAAAATATTTTTAAAGTAATATTAATGATTCAAAACGGTCTTGATATATATATATATATGTATGACAATCAGAAGTTAATGACAATTAATATAATTCTTTTCCTAATTAATGTTTTAATTGAATTATTTTTTAAATCAGCATTGAATTGAAAACAAAAGAAATATACTGTTAGACTATAAAATAGTAATTTTTGGAGGAAAAAAGGAGAAAAAAAAAACAATTTTGTAACCATTTTCTATATTGGTTTTTCCAGATCAGGTGTAACATAAAAAAACATTCTTGTAACTTAGGTTTCACCATTGCAGCTACATTACAACCTTTTTTCTTTCTGTTATATCGTAACAGTCACAACTACACAAACTTTACAACACCAAAATTTTCTCTGATTATGATGATTATGATTTTGGTGTCTCATGCTTTTCTTCTCTCACATTGAACCAGACCCCACCATTTTCTCTCCTTTCTCTCTCTCTCTGTAAAGTGTCAGAGGGATGTTGGAGAAAACCATGAAGACATCCAGTACGATGTTTCATGACAAGCACCATCATAATCATAGCAAAAGAGAGAGGTTTTTGGGTCTGACCTTAGGGAAGGGAGTGCCTTTTGTCTTGTTCTCTCTCTTAATGGCTTCAATTTTCTGTCTGTTCTTCCTCAACTATCCCAACCCTTCAACCCTCATACCCCAACAAGGCATTCACCTCTTTGAAAATTTCTCACAAAACCAAGAACAGGCCATCATCACAACACAGACATCATCATCATCATCTTCACCATCATCATCTTCACCATCATCATCATCATCATCATCATCTTCTTCTTCACCACCATCATCATCTTCTTCACCATCGTCATCATCATCCCAACCACCAACGGGTATGTCCCAAACATTATCCCACTCATCATCATAATCATGTTCAGGTTTTAAAAAAGGGTCCACAACCATGATTTCGTCCCACCATCAAGCTTTTCTTACAGTTCTTATGACCCACAACTGTGACCTCTTTAAAGTTTTCATTTTTCTCAAAAATCAAACACTGGGATCACTGCTCTAATTTAAAACCTTGATCATGATCATGGATTTTGATCACCACCCTTTATCTGTTATAACTTGATTTTGTGGGTCTCGTTTTGTCCCATCACATAAATTTGTGTTCTTTTTTTTTGTTTGTTTTGTGGCAGAACAGAAACCGTGTGACCTTTTTAAGGGTCACTGGGTGCAAGCATTGGGAGGTTCATCCACCTATTACACCAATTCTAGCTGCCCTTCAATCCCTGATGGCAAAAACTGTTTCAGGCATGGCAGAAAGGACAGTGATTTTCTGAATTGGAGATGGAAACCTGATGAATGTGAGCTTCCAAGGTTTGATCCCAACACCTTCTTTCAGATTGTTCATGGCAAAACAATGGCTTTCATTGGTGACTCTGTCGCTAGAAACCACGTCGAATCGCTTCTATGCCTCTTGTCACAGGTTTGTCTCTAATAGTAATTACACAAAATTCTGTGCTATTGCTCAAATTTAAGACATTGTGCTGTTGTTATTGATAACTTTGCCCAACTATTTGGAAGGTTTTCTTAGAAAGTATTAAGTTTTTAAAAAATAGTATTAATAATTTATTTTTATATCCAAGTAAATAAAACTAAATTCTGTGATTGAATTTGAAGGTATATGAATTCCATTACTTAGTTAATGGTTCCTTTACACGTTGCACACTTGAGTAGCACAATTTTAGGCTTTCGGTGTTCTCAAATTCTTTGCTTCCATGCAAAGGAGAATGTGATTCTTCTAAACTGAATTACAGGGAAGATCAAATATGCTTTAGTGTCTCTTACTACAAAATATAAATACTAAACTTTTCAAAAAATTACTATTTTAAAAATTAACTTAGAAAAACAATATTATTTTCTACAAAATGCTAATATATTATAATATTGTTATACTATATGGGAAAAACAAACTCTTAAACTCTCTTCCTAAGACTAATAATTTAAGCTAGAGTATTTTCATTTTAATTGATCTACGTGATTGATGGTATTTTAATTGATCTCCGTGATTGATGGTATAGAAAAAAAAGGAATTTGAAAGGATTTTTAAGTAATTTTGTATCATTATACTTTAATTGTCATTTTATGAGACTTACATGAAATTATTTTTGAAAACTTGAAATTGCATATTCTTCCCATGACGCGTTTGGTATGAAACTGATAATCAAGAAAGAAACCCTAACGAATCAAGCTCATTTTTTTCATCAACCTTCACTTTATATACATTCACGCTACCAATTAATTAACATTGTTACAAACTTGACAAAGAAACTAACAGTTCTAAGAAAACTAAAAGTTCAAATTTTTGAATCATCAAAAGCAAAAATCTGAAATAACAAATCGTACAAGAGGGTGTGAGAAGTTTGTTGAAAACATTGCAGGAAGAAGTTCCAAAGGACGTGTACAAGGACTCAGAAGACAGGTTCCGGAAATGGTATTTCCCAATGCACAACTTCAGTCTGATGATGTTGTGGAGCAGGTTCCTGGTAGTGGGCGAGGAAATAACGGTAAACGGCACGGGCACGAGCGTGTTCAACATGCAGCTGGACAAGGTAGACAATGACTGGGCCAAAGAGCTTCCGTACTTAGATTACGCAGTGATCTCATCTGGGCACTGGTTTTTCAGAGGGATGCGTCTGCACGAAGGTGGAAAAGAAATAGGGTGTGTGTACTGCGACGAACCGAACGTGACAAGGTACAACACTGACTTCCCTTTGAGAAAAGCAATGAGAACAGCGTTTAGGTATATGAGTGAGTGCAAGGAGTGCAGAAGGAGGAGGATGGTGACGGTGATGAGGACTTTTGCAGCGGCGCACTTTGAGAATGGGTATTGGAACACCGGAGGGTACTGCAATAGGACAGGTCCGATGAGTGAGGGAGAGGTGGATTTTGGGAAGTTTGAATGGGAAGTGAGGAATGTTCAGATGGAGGAGTTTGAGAGAGGAAGGAAAAATGGTGGTAGGTTTGAGGTGGTGGATGTTTCAAGAGCCATGCTTATGAGAGCAGATGGTCATCCTGGAGAGCATTGGGGGAACAAATGGATGAAGGGTTACAATGATTGCACTCACTGGTGCATGCCTGGCCCTGTTGATATGTGGAGTGAGTTGCTTCTTGCTGTGCTCAGAAAACCTTCTGCTTTTCATCTTAATTCTGTTTAGTTCAAACTTTTACATACACAAAACATAGATTTTGTTTTAGAGGTTCTTTTCTTTTTGGTATACAATAATGACGGTAGTGTAGTTCTCAAATCTGGTTGAAGTTGCAGCGATTTTGATTGTGGAAGCTAGCTGTTAGCAGAGGATATACAGACTGGGCTAATTAATTTCTATGTACGACAATGTATCATTTATATCCAATTTTTTATTTTAATTATTGAAATAAATATTTTATATGCTTTTTTATTATGAGTACAAAATTTAAGAAATATTTAGAAAAAAAAGACGAAATCAATCAACATTTTATTATTGACAAAATTAAGTCTTTTTTCTTCCTTGTTTCGTACGCTACCACACCATACAACTTCAACGTAGTAACCACTTTTTTTTTTTTGGATTCAGCCATGATATAAATGGTGGCACAGTTTCACGCGTTTAAACCTAACACAAACGTAATCGGAACGTTCTTCTCCCAAAACGCACGTTTTAAAGAAGTCCTTTCTCTCTTCTTCTTGTTCTTGATCTTCTTCTTGGATTTGCAATCTGTGGTGAAATCTGGTTTGGAATTTGGTGAAGTGGAATCGAAGAGTGTTTCAATGTCGGAAGGGTTTGCGATCGAATTGCACTTGGATCCGGCGTTGGAGAATCAGGTGCTGAAGGCGTGGAACGTTCTCGCGCGCCGGCAAATCACCACTCACCTCATCGAGATGAAGTCGCGCCCTCACAAAACGCTCTTCTCCGCACCCTTTCTAGAACCTTCCAAGCTCGAATCGCTTCTCAGAACCTTCGCATCCAAACACGATCCTCTTTCTCTCTCCTTCTCCTCCGTCGGCACCATCCCCAACCACGCCGACAATCTCCTATTCCTAGCGCCCACGCCCTCCCTCTCCCTCCTCCAATTCCAGTCCCACCTCTGCGACGCCATCAGAAAAGAAGGTATTGAGATCTCCGACGACTTCGCCTTCGATTCCTGGATACCTTACTGCTCGGTCGCACACCACGTCGCCAAAAACAAAATGCCCGAGGCTTTCTCTCTCTTGCGGGAACTTAAGCTGCCGGTTTCCGGTTACGCTACGGACATCGCGCTCGTGCAGTTCTCTCCGGTTAGCGAACTCTTCTCCTTTGTGCTCGGCAACAATGTAGATTCCTGAACTCTTCTCTTTAACACTAGTTTGTATGTGGCTGAAACAAGTTTCTCCATTAAACTAGAATAAACTGATGCTTTACTTGTAGAAATTTTTTCATATAATTTTTTTCTAAATATTTTAGTTGATTTTATTATTTTTCTCTAATCTAATCGAAGCTCTTGTGCTAAAACTTGTCTGAACGTGTTCTTAATTTAATTTTATGGGTTTAACATAGCTTATTATTTACTTGATTCCTAACACTCATTTAAAATTTAATTATTTATTTAGTGTACAATTTTTTCTTTTTACTTTCTATACTCAAACATCGGTTTTGGTTTATGTTTAGTCAATATTTTTAATGTTTTTTAGCTTCTACGGTTTAAACTCGTAAGAATTAAAAGACGTTAAAATTAACATAATAATAAAGATAAAAAATGGTGATTTTCAAGTATATAAACTAAGATAGAATTTGTTCAATTATAAAAATTAAATGAGTAATTAATCCAAGCAAATGCTGGTGATGGTGCGATTTTGTCACTTAATTTCGTCCAAATTAAAAAAACCATGAGACTTTTGAGTGATAATTTAACATACCTGAGGTGATTAAAATGATAATAACAATTAAGTTATAGAGATCTATTCTTATTTTTCTTTCGTTTAGGAACTAAAATGAAAAAGCTTCATCTCTATAGAGGAGCACTGCAGACTCTCGAGGTCCAATTTAGCTGTTTACACTTTTAATTTTTCTTTTTAAATTTATGAGAACTTTGTTTGATTGACATTATTTAATTTGTTTTTTTTTCTCTTTTTAAGTCATTCTGAGGTTTAAATTTGATTTTTGTGGGTTCGGCAATATTTACTCTAATAGAAGAGGGTCTTATCAAACTTATATTCATATTAATGTTTTATTTGGTTCATGATAAAAATATATACTTCTAAGATAGAAAAATATTTTATTTTTATTTTAATAATCCAAGTCTTATTTAAGACTATTAAGTTTTATTATTTTATGTCATGTTAGGGCACTCAAATGGAGAGGTCTTATAAATTCAGGTTTTAAACTGGTCATCCTAGTAATCCTGAGTATGATTTCTGTAATGAACATGATCTTAGTAAAAGGATTGAATTGTGTTTTTCTTCTGCATGAGCTAAAACCATTTTATAAATAAGTTCATAAATTGATTTTAATTCAATGGAGAAGTAACTCAAATTTTTTTTATATGTTCTTATGAAAGAGTTTAAGGCATGAAAATTTGAGTTCTGTTTCTTTAGGCATTTGATTGTGAATACTTTTAACAAGAGTAGAGAGCTATGTATATATTTATTTGATGGTTTACTGTAAAAGATTGATGTTGGAGTAGAGAGTACTTGGTTCGATGTATGATGGCCACTGCAGAATTTGCTATTCATTTTTTAATACATTGTTTGATGTCTTACATTTAAGCTCAAGATACACCAATTAGAACAACATTTAACGTTCTTTCTAGTCGATGAAATATTTCTGAGTACTCTAACACGACTCCAAGAAATGAATTTGTAATTAACTCAGTCTTGTAAAATCAATTTGTAATTCTGCTTTATTTCTGATCTGATTCCATCAAACAATTTTCATGTTATTGGTTTCTCAAGTACTTTGTATCGTCTGATGTCATCAAGCAACCTGAGTGATGGAATGGAATTGGCTTTGCAATATCCAAATACAAATAGTATAATAAAAAATAATTAAAATAATTAAAAGTAAAAATAATTTAAAATAATAATATACAAATTAAATAAAAATACTAAAAAAATAAACTATTATTTTTTTAATATTTTACATTTTTATTTATTATAATAAAATAAATAATTAATATAATATTATTAAAATTAAAATACAAACTAAAAATATTTTTTTTTTCAATCACAGATAATATAAAATTTCTACTCATTCATTCACAGTCCCTTAATCCAAAAACCTTGGTTCCTCCTTTCTCCCTCCTCGTTTCTCATCCTTTCCACTATCATTTTAATCCAAACAAAGCACTAATGAAGGTCGGACTTCAATGAATACTTGTTTGAAAACAACTACTAAATAGGGCTCACATAAACAAATTTTTACTAAACTAGAACTTAGTTTATCCGCTACTTTACTATAGGAATCCATGAAGATTTTACTCAAAGCTTGTTTCTCATTTGCTCAAAAGATAAAGAAAAAAAAACCAAATGGTATATTTAAGTGCACAGAAATATTCATCCTTGTTAAAGACTAAATTTTTTAGTGAACTAAGGTAAATATGCCTCTACTTTACAAAAGTTGGTTGAGCATAAAAGCCAAAAATTCCTTCAAAAAAAAGTTTGTAAGGTGTCCAAGTAAATTACGTTAACTATTGAATTATAGTGAATTCATCATGAATTTAAGTAACATCGGGCTACGAATTTATATACCAGAATATATATACGACAAAAGGAATCAGAAACTATAAAATGGTATCACTCAGGCCTAGCAACTACTTCCATCCAACTTCAGTTTTACCCAACCTTAATAATCAAACTATACCAAACAGATCACTCGCATAAGGCATTAAGCAGGCACAGAAGAATGAAAAATCTGGTCAAACCAAAGCTACATTCTTTCTTGGTACATGGATACCAGGGAGCAACCAGTTAGTACCAAGAGAAAAACACCATGTTCCATCCATCAAATTACTACTAAGATAAAAATAAACAATGTTCCATTTGTCAGATTCAGTACTAGACAACACCATAACTCTAGCTGCATCTGCCCTCCATTTCCCCAAATATCCAACGTTACAACAAAACTGCAACCATGACCACAATTTAAAACCTCTATGAAGAGCATATCCAAAACTCTCCACTATAAGCTGTTATACTACCTTTCACAGGTACCTAACCCTCTGTTTCACAGCGTCTCTGCCCTACCAAAATCTCTACCAACTTCTCCAGGTCTTCCAACCTCGTTCATTAGTTCCAGAACATTTCTAACAATTCAGCATTCAACCTCAGACACATTACCAATCCATTTGAAATTCACCATCAACATTAAACTATTCCTCAGACAAAGAAAAATAAAAACTCACCAAAACCAAATCAACAAGGGAGCAAACAACAGAGATAAATTCACAAAGTTCCATCTATCGAATTTGGTGTTCCCTAACACCATAAATCATTACAGCAAGAGAATTTCAGGAGGAACCAAAACCCTCCCAAACCATTCTCACTTCGAAAACAATCAAACGCAGTTAATCATCATCTAATACAATATTACTAACTTAACATTAACAAATGAAAAAAAAAAAACTAGCAACTGCGGTGTACTTATGCATAACCTTAGGTCAGGAGTCTACATTATTACCGAGCACAAAGGAGAAGAGTTCGCGAACCGGAGAGAACTGCACGAGCGCGATGTCCGTAGCGTAACCGGAAACCGGCAGCTTGAGTTCCCGCAAGAGGGAGAAAGCCTCGGGCATTCTGTTTTTGGGGACGTGGTGTGCGACCGAGCAGTAAGGTATCCAGGAATTGAAGGCGAAGTCGTCGGAGATCTCAATACCTTCTTTTCTGATGGCGTCGCAGAGGTGGGACTGGAATTGGAGGAGGGAGAGGGAGGGCGTCGGCGCCAGGAAGAGCAGGTTGTCGGCGTGGTTGGGGAAGGTGCCGACGGAGGAGAAGGAGAGAGAGAGAGGATCGTGCTTGGATGCGAAGGTTCTGAGGAGCGATTCGAGCTTGGAAGGTTCTAGAAAGGGTGCGGAGAAGAGCGTTATGTGAGGGCGCGACTCCATCTCGATGAGGTGAGTGGTGATTTGTCGGCGCGCAAGAACGTTCCATGCCTTGAGCACCTGATTCTCCAACGCCGGATCCAAGTACAGTTCGATCGCGAACCCTTCCGACATTGAAACGCTCTTCGATTCCAATTAACCTAACTCCGATCTATCTCTCAAACTCACGCAGACCCCACAGATTGCAAATCGAAGAAGAAGATAAGAAGAAAGAGGAGTGCGTTCTTTTTCTTTCTGACTCTTCGCACCCTTCCACAGGTACTCAGATTTTTCTTATTCAATTATTT